AGTTAGTCTGATTTGGGCTAGAAATCAGAGCCAATTGGCTTTCCGTTGAAGCCGTAAGCACCACGACACTGAGATCCTCGGGAAACGCTTGGTGCAGCGCAAAGGAATTCAAATATGGAATTGGAGATTCAACTTTGTTGTTAGTATGATACAAGCAACCTTTATAGAAATATCGGTTCACTTGAGACAGAACGCGGTCATTCACAGCACAAAAATCTGAGTAAATTATAAATACTATTGTGTTGCTCATCACAACACCGGAACCCAACGACCGCCGTTTCTTCCAAGTTTCGACTCATTAGTTGGAGATAGCCTGAGCTAGACTGGACATCAGAGTATATTAGCTCACGATTGACGCCATAAACACTATATCACTTAGATCCACGAGCAAAGCTTGGTACAGCGAAAACGTGTTCAAAGTAGGAATTGAAGAATCCGCTGTGTGGTTGGGTGGATACAAGCAACCTCCATTTAACACTCGTTTCATTTGAGGTGTACCACGGTCATTTCGATTTACTTTATTGTATGTAAAATGGAAATATTTTGGTGCTTCTCATCCCAACACTGCACACCACGACCGCGGTTTCGTCCTGGTTTGGACACAACAGTTGGAGATAGCCTAAGTTGAGCGGGAAATGAGAGCTTATTTGCTCACCGTTGACGCCATAAGCCCTATTCCACTGAGATCGGCGAGCAACGCTTGGTACAGCAAAAACAAATTCAAAGTTGAACTTGGAGAATCCGCTGTTTGGTTAACTTAAAGCAAGCAACGTCTTCGGAGAATTTTGTTTACTTTAAGTGGACCACAGTCATTACGATCACGAGGACCGTAGGGGAAATGGAAATATCATGGTGTTGCTTATCATAACACTGGCACCCCAGGACAGATGTTTCGCATTGGTTTGTACTTAGTTTCTTCCAGGTTTGGACTCATTAATTGGAGATAGTGTGAACTGGGCTAGTAATCAGAGTCTTTTGGCTCACGTTTGACGACATAAGCACTATGCCACTGAGCTGCGCGAGCAAAGCTTGTTACAGCGGAAAAGAATACAATTTTGGACTTGGAGAATCCGCATTGTGATGGGGTTGCTAAACACAACTTCTATTGATAACTCCATTCACTTGATGTGGACCTCGGTCATTCCCATCACAAGGACCGTAGGTAAAATGGAAAAATAATCGTGTCGCACATACCAACACTGGCACACCACGAACTCCACTACGTCCTAGTTGGAACATATCATGTAGATTTAGCATGCGTTTAGCAGGAAATCAGAGCTTATTGGCTCACTGTTGACGCCACATGCAATATATGCTACTAAGATCCAAGATCAACGCTTGGAACAGCGGAAATGAATTCAAAGTTGGACTTGGAGAATCCGCTGTGTGTTTGGGTTTTTACATGAAACATCTACTTAGAACACAGTTTACATGAGGTGGACCGGATCATTCCGATTACAAGGACCGTTTGTAAAATAATATGTTATATTGTTGCTCATTCAAACACTGGCACTCCATGACCGCAGTTTTTTTCCTGTTTTAGATTTATCAGTTAAAGGTATCATTATCTGTGCGGGAAATAAAGGCATTTGTATTACCACGTCGCCGTAATCGTTATGCCATTGAGATCTGCTCGCAACACTTGGTAGAGAAGAAAAGAATTCAAGGTGGGACTTGCAAAAGCCGCTGTGTGGTTTGGTTGCTAAAATCAACCTCTATCGAGACCTCGGTACATGAGTTAAAATTTAGTCATTCCGGACAAAAAGACACTAGATAAAATTAAATATTAATTTGTTGCTCAACACAACGCTGGCATTCCAATACCTCGATTTCGTCCTGGTTTATATTCATCGGTAGGAGATATCCTAAGCTGGGCTGGAAATAAGAGTATAGTGCCTAAGGGATGACGCCATATGCAAAATGCTACGGAGATCCGCGAGCAACTCTTGGTACAGCGAAACGAATTCAAAGTTAGACTTGGGGATTCCGCTGTGTGGTTTGTTTACTACAAGCAAACATTGAATTGCAGCTGCAAGGCATTAGATTTCCTCGTGTCTGAAACAGAATAGAACATGGTGTATACAACTTGTGTATGATGTATTAGCGCTGGAAACCCTGGCTGCGAAAGACTATTCAGTAGTCAAAGCTAGCCTTGTGCTGCTGCCGCTATAATCATTTATAAAAAGGGCCAACCTACAGTTACGAGCAAACTGATTTTGTTGCTTTCATACAAGCTGCTTTTAAGGTGTACTGGTCAATTTCGGAGGCATCACTTTGCGAATCTTGTTCGTCTGCAATAAAGAGGGTGTTAAATTGCTATACGCTCTACCCGCGTTCCTTAATTATCGGAAAGTCAAGTCAATAAAACGACTTTGGCTGGGCAAGGAGTAGGGTAACTTAATTCGGCTGCTGCGCTACCATGCAACAAATTCCTCAAGTATAGCTATATCGACGGATTTAATATGTACAACAGACAACTAAATTTATATACCAGCGCAAAGGCACAGAAGCGTTGGCGGTTCTAAATTCCTCTGACTTCCGAAATGAAGATGGCTTCCCAATTGATCTTGGCATCTTAAAGCGACAGCTGATCTTTGCATATGACGTAGCTACCAGGTGTCTGAAGGACGATCACTACATTTGAATTACGAGATTGTGGCGGCATTGTCTGCTAACCTCGCTTCCGTACTAACTGCGCGTCTGCGGAAGATCACGTGAGGTACAAATGTCGACGGAGGCTATGCAACAGCGTAAAAGTACAGAAACTTGGCAGTTTTAATAGGAACTCTCAACAGGAGCAAATTTTCGCTTACGTGAATTGGTGCCTGAGACCAGCGAACAAGGTAGCAATGTTAGATAACTTTGGCGGACAGCCTCTGACTTCCAGCGGCAAACGTGCGTCCGTATTGGAGACCTACTAGCTTCTATAGTTGCAAGTTGACTTGAGTTTAACCAAGCTTTGCGTGTATCGACCCTAGGGAGGTTAAACGTCTTGGGTGCGATATGTAAGATCTCCGCAATCCCATTGCACTTCTAGTTGACACGAAGTTTGCTGGTCGAGATGGGCTTCCACCTGCTGATTATCAAGTCATCGTCGACCACCGTATCGCTGTCTATGACAGATCTCCACAACAAATCGCTGCCCAAAAGCAAAGTGCCAAGCGATTATAATAGCTTTATAGTGAAACCGATTCCAAATGGCTGTGACGAAAGGAAGGTGGACATTTACGGGTCGATTTGTCCGTTCAAGCCAAAGTACCCGAGTAAATAATAAAAAGCGACTACTGCAGCTGCTGGAGTTCGTAAACCTCCTGATCACCACACAGCTTAATTGCATGAAGACCGCTCTTATATCACCGCCTGTGGTTAACGCGACTTGAATGGATGCAGAGTTGATTCGGGGGAAGTTGCGGATATGATCTACATTGGTTTTTGTAAAGCGTTCCATAAAGTGAACCATGAGGTCCGCCTCAACCAGCTGAGGAGGTGCGGTCTAGGTGCCTCACTGCATAAGTGAATCAGTGATTTACTGATTGAGCGAAAATCGCGGGTACAGGTAGAGGATCACCTAATGGACCTGTATCGCTCCACTAGTGGCGTACGCCAGGGTACGGTAATAGGGCCCAATATGTTTCTTATCCATATCAGCGAAGGGTCACAGATTCTTCAGGCTAATTGAGCCGTATTCACACGTGACTTGAAGAGCTCTACACGGCTTTGAATTACATTAACGTGACTTCGAGAGCTGTGCAGATATTTCTCAGGAGTTGATCTGCCGGCTAAGGCAGTGTAATCATTGTTAATACAACAGGGAAGGCGTGGTGACTAGGGTACTTGCACATGGCTCTAGAGGTTATATCACGCTGCGACTTGAAGTCTTTAGACAAAGGGAGCAGGCTGCACAGAAACGACTGCGAATGCTTTGAACGCTGTAAGGCAGTTTTTATAATTTGTAAGAAAATGTCACCAACAACCATATCCCCCGTCATAAGGGCAATGCTAGAGAAAATCTCAACTTACTGAAACGTGTTCATGGTAAAACTAATGGAATCATAACCATTTTTGTAGTATATCGTACGAACACTGATACAGGAGACAGAATAATCCGCACTTGGTATCTTCATGTTCGACTGGTGCTCATGACGATGCACCTTCTTTAACATGTGTGTGCTAGTGGGAAGATTAAAGTGGGGTGCACTGTGCTGACACATTGTTTCTTCTAACCAATAAATCGATGCATGACAGTCTTTGCAGCCCATCTATAGTGCCACTGGATACCGTACAAAAAGGGTAAGATGTCTGATTACCATCAACCGCGGAAACCATTTGTATTTACCTCCAGAACCCAGACACGTGTGTGCAATGATTATTCACCCAGATCCTCCGTCTACTTGGCTCCCTCCAAAATGGTCCATGTTAGGGAACGCGCTACTGTCAAGTTTCAAACCCACTCCTAGCAGTTTCATGCAGACAAACTATATATTTCAGCTATCGTTTGTTGGTGTTTTCACTCACTTTATTTCTATCACTTTTGGTGAATAAGCCTGAAGGAATCTGCTGCAGGCAAGCTTTTCGGTTAATCTATCATGCGATGTCTATCCCAGGGATAATTCTTCATTTGAGATACAATGTTTTGTTTAACCGTTCTGCTGCCTAAACGCAACTCTATTTATCTGAAGCTTTCCCTGCAAGGGTGGATATGTTTTTAAGAAAAAGGTTGTCTGCGTGAATTAAGTTACGTTGTGGGGTACTTTTACATTAAATACAAGCAAGGTAGACGTTAGTTTGCAACTTACCACCTGGTGTATGTTATACGTTTACATGATGATAATGCAACATTTACATAGAGCAACAAGACAAACCTCATACTATATAACTTGTGGTTTAATGGTGCATGTCACTGCGATAAAACAGAGTCACTGACTTAATGATAACTGCGTTGCCCCAAATATACCATCTTATCCACATCAAACCACTACTAACATCCCATCCCAACCCAACTACAAATTCAACCTATCAAATTTATCACCATCCATACCTTCCTCATCCCCCCTATCATTAAAACCCAAACACCTATCCCTACCAACCCCCCATTCAAACCCCCCCCCAACCCCCCCCCCCCCCCCCCCCCCCCCCCCCCCCCCCCCCCCCCCCCCCCCCCCCCCCCCCCCCCCCCCCCCCCCCCCCCCCCCCCCCCCCCCCCCCCCCCCCCCCCCCCCCCCCCCCCCCCCCCCCCCCCCCCCCCCCCCCCCCCCCCCCCCCCCCCCCCCCCCCCCCCCCCCCCCCCCCCCCCCCCCCCCCCCCCCCCCCCCCCCCCCCCCCCCCCCCCCCCCCCCCCCCCCCCCCCCCCCCCCCCCCCCCCCCCCCCCCCCCCCCCCCCCCCCCCCCCCCCCCCCCCCCCCCCCCCCCCCCCCCCCCCCCCCCCCCCCCCCCCCCCCCCCCCCCCCCCCCCCCCCCCCCCCCCCCCCCCCCCCCCCCCCCCCCCCCCCCCCCCCCCCCCCCCCCCCCACCCCCCCCCCCCCCCCCCCCCCCCCCCCCCCCCCCCCCCCCCCCCCCCCCCCCCCCCCCCCCCCCCCCCACCCACCCCCCCCCCCCCCCCCCCCCCCCCCCCCACCCCCCCCCCCCCCCCCCCCCCCCCCCCCCCCCCCCCCCCACCACCCCACCCCCCCACCCCCACACAACCCCCAACACCACACCACCAAAATAAACTACACAACCACACCCAAAAACAAACACACCACCCCACCCCAAACAACACCAACAAACCAACCCCAAAACCAACAAAACCCAACCAAACAACCAACAACAACAAACTAACCCCTCACCCCCCCACACCCCCCCACCCCCCCACCACCCCACACCCCCAAACCCCACCCCCCCCCCAACCCCCACACCCAAACCCACCCCCCCACCCCACCCCCCACCCCCCACCAACCCACACCACAAACAAAAACACAACCACAAACAAAAACAAACCAAAAAAAAAAAAAAACAAAAAAAAACAAAAAAAAAAAAAAAAACAAAAAAAAAAAAAAAAAAAAAAAAAAAAAAAAAAAAAAAAAAAAAAAAAAAAAAAAAAAAAAAAAAAAAAAAAAAAAAAAAAAAAAAAAAAAAAAAAAAACATATAAAAAACCAATAAAAAAAAAAAAAAAAATTAATATGCGTCCAGTTTAGAACTGTCATATGAAAAGTTGTTTCTTCTCTGCTAGGTGTGTTTGTCTTGCGTGATCTTAAGAAGAAAGCGGTCAGGATATCCGTCTTCTTGCAGCAGATTCTGAATGAACGCCAACGTTCTATCCAATGTGACTTCAGAACAGATCCTGCGTGCCCCTGTGGTTAAACAGCTAAGTAAGCTTGCTTATGTCTCAACGAAACAAATCTATGGAATATCTTATATTTGCAGCTCAATGTATTCTTGCTGCAGACTTGCCGTTGCATTAAGACATCTGCCATTCTAGTTAACAGGACATCAAGAAACGGCAAGTGATTGTTCAAATCTTTCATCGATCAGCTACGGTTATTGCAAACGGAGCTAAAGTGTCAGTAATTTAAATAAAAAATTTTGACGAAGTTTGAAAAGGAAAATAATTATCTGACAATTTTGGTGTGACTTTCTTGTCGTAAGATGCAATGATTTAATTCGCTGTCTAGCTACAATGGCCTAATGGATCTGTTCTGAAGTCACATTGGATAGAACGTTGGCGTTCATTCAGAATCTGCTGCAAGAAGACGGATATCCTGACCGCTTTCTTCTTAAGATCACGCAAGACAAACACACCTAGCAGAGAAGAAACAACTTTTCATATGACAGTTCTAAACTGGACGCATCTGCTGAGCTTTTAACTAGAAGCCTTGCAAAAGCTGTTAATTCAACTCCCTCAACAGCCAAGCTTAGATGTATATTCTCAACGGAGCCACTCATTCGTATTCACAACAAAGACGAATTTACGACGCTGACAGCTTCTATGGTCATTTATCATTTCGAGTGCGCCTTTGGCGCCACTTTCATCTGTCGAATGGCGCGGCACATGTCGGAGCGCATTATTGAGCACTCTCCAAGGTGGTTGCAGCTGAGGCGGTATCGGGGCTATACTAGCTCTATTATGGCTCATTTTGCTGATAGTGGGCATGAGGTTGACCCAGTCCTTACCTTTCGAATGCCATACATCGTCTTTGCACTTTAGTAGAAGAGCCTGCTTCTCCGCACCCTGCGGTTGAGATCAACAGTCGGTTGCATCAACCGCACAAGTATCTGATCGATGCTCTCAAGCTACCTTGGTCAGGCAAGACGTGGGCAGACGTATGCAGCTGTAATCGTTCAAGTACACCTTTGTCTTAGTTTGCGGTCTGTTGCTGGTTTATATCTTTGTTGGGCACGTGATCTAAACTCATTGGAACTGATAGCATCCATTTTTACGCCCATTGATAGTTTACTTTTACAATTCTACAGGTCTGAGGATGAATCATCGAAATCAATGATCTACCTTCGGTCCTTTGTTCCTAGGTTTCCTGTTAGAAACATCATGAAATTTACGTCGACGCGCTGCAGCTCAATTTTTCCCAGCACGCGTTATGAATGACCAGCACAATTGCACTTATCGTAACCATAACTCAATTTGCATTGAAGATGTTTGATAGGTTAAAATTATTTTTAACAAATTGAGCTTGTTCCATCATTGTTAAATGCGAAGGGCAATTTTTTATTGAACATGTTTATCCCTTACCTGAATCTTGTTGCCGAAGCGTTGATGAACTTCTTGGAAGAACGCACTATCACAGCATAAGAACAACAAAGGTTTCGCAACAACCGTTCTTACACTTCAAACTTGCTGCTTGCCAGAACCAGTTGGACTGAGACGGTTGACAGCGGCGTAGGTGTTGAGGCAGTATATCTAGATTTCTCAAAGGCTTTCGAGCGTCTGAACCACCGTATCCTCCTTCACAAGCTGCAGTGTTGTGGAATTGGTGACCCAATCCTCGGTTGGATAGCTAACTTCTTCCTTTAACAACATCTGAATTAAGAGTTCGCGGCGTTATCTCTGACCCAAACGACGTTAAGTGCGGAGTGCCCCAGGGCTCAGTACTTGGTCCACCACTATTCCTGATTTACATAAACGATTTCGCAAGAGTAATCAACTCCAACTCCTTACTCTTCGCTGATGATCTCAAGATATGGCGAGCCATTAGAACAACCAGCGACAATGCAGCACTTCAGGCTGATCTGGACAGGGTCTATGAATGGTCGACTCAGAACCTGCTTCAGTTCAACGCTACAAAGTGCCAGGTGTTGAGCATACGCCATAAAGCCACTTGCGAATACAGACTGTCGGATCAAATATTGCAGCGCACTACAACGGAATGCGATCTAGGAGTGGAAATGCAGGAAGATCTGGGCTGTTCCCGTCAGACCGAGAAAGCCTTCAAAAAAGCTAACCAACACCTTGGCCTTTTTGCGGAGGGCATTCGGGCGCTTCGATCCTTCCATCTTTTCTCAGATGCTCAATGCCTACATTCGGCCTCATTCTGAGTGCGCCATCCACGCCTGGCAGCCATGGCAAAAGCATGACCTTACCGCTCTTGAACTATTACAACGAGGGCTACCAAGAACGTAAAGTGCCTGTTTCATCTCCCTTACCGATTGAGGCTGAAAACCCTCGGGGTCTACAGTGGACAATATCGACGCCTGCGTGGCGACTTGATAATGACTTATATGATCCTGAGGAATCCAAACCATTGTTGGCGTCACCTACTAAAGCTGAATAGCAATACAACACTCAGAGGACACCAGCTAAAGCTGGCCATACAATACAGCCGGTTGGAATGCCGCCAGAATTCCTTTTTCCTTCGCGTATGCGAACATTGGAACGCTCTTCCCACATACGTTGTTTCTTCCCTCACGCTAACGGTATTCAAATGACGTCTGGATGATTGGCTTATCCACCTTCATTACGCTATATAATCAGAGACGTTCACATCAAACAAACGCGAAAAAACGATGCTCATTCTCAGCTTTTGTGCTCCACTATTTACACACTGCTGTTGTGGAATGTAATTTCGGATATATTACAACTGCATTCATAAATTTACCTCGGTCCATGAAAGCGGCGCACGAGTAAGCGTTGGTCGTTTTTCTTGTTCTTAAGACATGCCTTACCCATATGGTTGCCAGCATCGGGTTTCGGATTTGCCTGTCACTGTGGCCAGCCACAGGACGCCTGCGCCTATAGAGGGACCATGGGTGGCTTGCGCTGCACCACCCACAGCTCCATCCACATACCAATATTACCCATATTACTTCCCATATTACCCTACAGTAACAATTCAGTACACATTCTATAACCTTTCTATGAATAAGTGGCACTTGAAATCACTAGACGCTTAAACTGACGATTTACGCTTATGTTTACTTTCACTTCAACCATCCTACGGGACTTGTAAAGCAGTCGCTTTTTTACCTGTAAGTTATCACTGTTCAGTGTTCATGGAGGTAGGACAGGTGCTTCTAAACCGGTAGCTGTCAGCTGTCTTCCCATTGTTTAGGAATACTTAGCACCATATTTTGCAATTAACCGGGGCATAATCTTATTTATACCGCCTCCATGCCTTCTAAGGGTATAGCTTTGCCTTAACATTTTGGTCCACTTGAGACCAAAATCATTAAAAACCTGGTAGGTTTTTGCCTTGTTTGTGGTTGCAGTGACTAAACATTTACCCTCTCGCAGTCACCAGAGCACAGACAGTTATCAAAAGACGGGCAATTGTGGATTTCCTTGAGCTAAAGGTAGCCTATTACTTTTCCAACGGCATCACTTTTTAGCACTTTCTCTCTACGAATATTATTGCAGTGGAACCCATTCCATTCAGAAGTCTTCTAACGTCCTTATAGCGGAAATTATGGGTTAACGGAGGCAGCCTCCTTGAATTCTCACGACAAAGTTGTCAATTTATGTTACTCACGAGTGGCAGGATTTAGTTATATTCTGAAGAATTTCTTCCGACTTTCAAATGCGATGGATATAGCGTCTAGCGAGGGAACGCCATCAACTCGCAGGCTAACCACTCTCATTGAGAGTGGATGATAAGTGATGCTATATCCCAGTTAGATTGCAAATTACGTATTGCAGCCAACGTCACCCATGGCCCAGTGGCTTCTGAATCAAGCTGTCATCGGTTCTGTAAAGTACAAAAGGAACTGTGATGTATCCCCA